ACATTGAGGTCCAACCAACACACAAACATCTTGCTCTTGCATGTAAAGGCATTGCATGAGCTTATTGCATGACACATGATATAACAAACTATAAACATATATGTCTCATGGGGTTTGCTTGGTTGACCAACGTTACAGTTATTGTGCTATATGATAACCACACATCAAGAGAGTATTTAGTCATTTACTGTAAGTTTCTGTTAGACTGCCAACCATCTGTCACTCATTTATTGCTGCAACCAACAATTATGTATACTAGTGATTAGTCTGCTGATTATTTTTCTATTGTCTATTCATCATTTGGCATATAAAATATAACACATATGGAAACATGTCCATTCTAGTTTCTTAAAGTTCAAGGTCTTTAAATGTCAAAAGACAGTCACTTTAAAACGATATAAATTGGGATTTTAAAATGTTGCCGTAACACTTTTGCACATTGTGAAGGGCCAGGGTACGCAACAAACTAGGAATGCAGGTAGAGGAGGAAATAATAAGGATTTCATATTTACCCAAAATACATATACAGTTTTTAGGATTGGTAACAAAATCAATTAGGATGAAACATTTTTGAATTCTTTATAATATAAACAGATACAATCTAGAATTCATTACATTACATGTTAGACATTTTTATCCAAAGCGATTTACATACTCAATACTGTGGACAATCCCCACAGGAGCAATTTGGGGTGAAGTGTCTCAGGGACACAACGACATGCTGACTGCAGTGGGGTTTGAACCTGTGCTCCCCTGACCCGGAGCTACGTCGATCCTTGCGTAATGCGGAAGTGGGCGTGGTTAAATCTAAACTGGGTTGGAATAACGATAGACGCGACCCGCACACCTACGCACAACCCACTGCGCCACATACCGCCATTCATTAAACAAAAACTTCACAAAAATGAGAGCTCTTCTTCCCAAGAGCAACCCTCACACACCCAGCCTTCCTCTCCACACTGCAGGAGTGTATACCAATGCTGGCCGGTCCATTGTTGAGTGCAGTGGAGAGAAGACTCTAAAGATGGGAGGCTTAGATTAAGTTGCCTCTTTAAACACCCCTCAAGGTTTTAGGGGAATGGCACGGTCCAATTAGGCTAGGCATCTACATAGGCAGGTGGTGTTCATCAGTTCAGCCTTTTGCCAGGAGCAAGCTGAGCTGCAACACACTGACAATATGAGTACCACACAATTAACAATCACTATTTTAAACAAGATTGTGTGCACTCAATCTAGTAAAATAAAGTTGTTTAAAAAAATGTGTCTGTGTATGTATGATGTTAAACAAAAAGCATAACCTTTAGGATGTGTGTTTGGTTGTGAGGCCTGTATCCTTCACATACATGTTCCCATAAATGCTTGTTTAACCCTTTGAAAACAACACTTTCTAGTGTTTATAGTTGTTGTTGTTGTTGTTNAAATCCCCACAATGCTTTGCGCACGGACCAATTTCCCCAAATCTGTGGTGGGAAATGTAAGGCGGGGCCTCTCATATGACACACACCTGCACACTTGCTAGCCTGTTCCACTCTTCGTTTTCCGAATGCCAGGAAGGATTCTTGCCTCGCTTCTGAAGCAAGTGACTCGGAAGACATGTGCTACCAAGCAAGCATCCTTGTGATTGAGAAACGGCCGCGGTCTCTCTCTTCTCCTGCCCACAGCTGCGAACACTTTTTGTTGGATCCACTACAACACTACTTTATTAAATATTCTTTAAACTTTCTGAGGCGTCACCTTGTCTCCTTTTCTTTAAAATACTCCTGGACTTTGAACAAAAGAACATTTACACCAACCATACATTCAATCGCCCTTCATCAAACCCAGGCCAGCACTGCAGCTCCAGGTCGGATCAGATACCGCCCTGGAGTGGACCGGTGCCAGGCTGCAGTGTGCGGAGGGAGCCAATAAATCAGAGTCAGCCAGCATCAGAGCCAGAGCCACCAGAGACGGAGCAGGGGATATGGAGCTCCAGCCAGTAAATAAACACTGCACCAGCAGCCCAAGGCCAGCGTAATGACCATCATTAACCTCAGCTCCCTCCATCTCCCACACAGAGGAGCTGAGAAGCCCACACTGAGGCTCTGATAGTCCACTGTGATCCCTGCAGCTCTCACATAAAAGCATTATCATGTAGAACAAGCCTTGCTGTTAGCATGGATTATAGTTTGATGGGTTAAGAGCTGCAACTAACCCTAAAGCTCATTTTCATATCTGGGCGATTTACAAAGTTTGAAACAAATTAGAGGCTATAAACAGCAATATCTGACATTTTTGCTTGAAAAACCACTTTAGTGATTCATCTGTTATCAAAATAGTTTCTGTTTTCTTTCTTTCTGTTGCGGCTCTAGTCGGGGTGAATGAGTTGTAGTAACTGTAACACAGCCAGTGTAAGAAACATTTGGCTCTGATTACACGAAGCCAAACACTTTCTCATCGTGTGATTTCTTCACCCGATGGCTTCTGTCCAGCTCTCAGATGAATAATGTTCACTTGCTGATGACTAATTTTAACCGAATCCAGATTAACTGTGATATTTTTCAGGGCAACGATACTCAAACAGTAACTGAAAATAAACCCGACACATTACAGTCATTTGGTTTGGCCCGCCATCATGGGAGGTTTCGGGCATAATTCAAGTGACAGTTACCAGGCAACACCTAGAAAACCCATGAAAATAATCAAACATTTTATAAAATAACATACTCATTCTGGCCTGAAGCCCAACATCCAAACAGAGTTTTTTGTAATCCTTAACATACCCTACATTTCAGAGATATTGTGTCACCTATCACTTATTTACTACAGAACTATCACAACAAGAGCATTTCATTCCTGACACGCCACTGTTTCCAGAACTGTGGAAAAAGTCTGCAGGCTTTTCGTTGCAAGTTCTCAGGACATCACACTCGACTTGAGGGAAATAATGTGCTATTGTGCAAGGTCTCGCTGGCTGCTCACTGGACAGTCCGTGAATGTGAGATATTGTTCAGACGGATCATATGTAATGTTTCGGGTTCAATGCCAATAAACTCATTCATGGTTCAATGAACACACAAAATGACGGCTGTACAATAGACTTTAGTGAAGAAAATGTTAAGTTTTTATAAAATGTCCCCCTCTAAACATGTCTCAAGGGAGGATTTTCTTTGGACAAATGCCTTCTATATTAATCAAAAATGAGTGACAAGGCAGACAAATGTATTTATTTTAAGCAGTGGGGGTTCTCACTGAGTACGTTTTTAGAGAAAACACCAGTTCTGGGACTGTGTTGCTTTACCACTAAGACATAACGGAAAACACTTTTACTTGATATATGTCTCTTTTCTCTCTTATCCAATCTCCTCTTCATCTCATCTATAATTTCCGCATATGCTTTCTTTCTTTAATACTTCTGTGTTATCCTCTCTTCTGCTTTGTCACCTACAGCAGTGAAACAAATGCCCCTTTTCATACCCCCCTTGGGTGATACGAATACCTCATTTCCTGTGGCTTGGCACCGGGGGGAACCATAAGCTGGGACAGATGGGAGTCTGATTGGAATAACTGATGCAGACACTGAAAAACGGGCCCCAACAAAACATCCTTTGTTTTTCAAGAAGTGGCGAAATATACAGTGAAAAGTCTCTCCTGCGCCGAAATACATCCCACACCCAGAGTCATGGTGTTTGGGTAACAACGTGGGGAGTGGAGGAGGGGGCTGAAGCTTGGGAGAGGTGATCCCTGGAGGTAATTTGACTGGATACTCAAATGAACAACACCTTAAAAGGCTATTCTGCTCATTTTCAGGTTCATATTTGTATGTAGTGTCTCTCCTGGGACATGTCTCCATGCTTTAATGTTCAAAAAGCTCTTTATTGTTCTCATACTGCCTGTGCTGCAGCACCTCTTTTCACCCTCTGTCTGAAACCAGAGCCCAGTCTGCTCTGATTGGTTAGCTGGCCTGCTCTGTTGTGATTGGTCAACCGCTTAGAGATGTCCCGCCCCTTAGCCTATCACGTACAATGTGTTTGAGCGCTAGCCAATAGAAGCGCACGTGTTACGTAGTGGTGTCACAGACAAAGGAGTTTCGGGGAGGGGGGCCAACTTTAGGATTTAAGCCTTTGCAGACCATTTACATGCACACAAGCCTTCATAACACACTACAGGAAAGGGAAATCACATCTATATGTACACACACAACATTTCTCTGCCTTAACCTTAAACACCAGGGCCTAAAATCTCCCCTCCTGCAGTCCTTTCTCCGGCTTTACTAATACACTCAGTGGAATTTGGGTCTTGCTTTTCACTGATCACCCCCTCATGAGATGTAAAGGAGGCTGTTTTCTCTTCCTTCCTTTCCCATGAAAAGGTCAATTTGCTGTAAATACACTGGGAGATTTCAATATGGCCCGTTAAGGTCGAACATGTGCTGTTTTTGGGGAAACAATGTGGTAGTATTCAGCAGCATAATTTGGTATAAGTCGAGCTTGGCCCCAGCCCAGAAAGCACAGCAGTTGAAAGAAAGCTGCCAGAAAAAGAAGGCAGGCAGAGGAAAGACATTGATATTTTGAACTTTCTCCAGATACTGTTGCGAATGCTCCCAGTAGTGTACGCAAAAGCAAACTTTATGCACTATTCTTCTTTTTAGTACTTGATTTTATGAATGATAAAAATGCCAAGGAGAGTCATTCCTGCCTTTCGCCATCAAACACTTTAAAAACTGGACTTCACCATCAAGAAAAGCATTTTTTAAACCGGGCAATTCAGCGTTAATATATTTAAAAATATTGTTTTCATTGTTCTTGTTCAAATAAATGGTTTAATTGTATGTATTTTTTTACTTTCAATATTTAAAAAGGAATGTGTTACTATTTGTTTTTTGTAATTACTATTCTAAAATGGAGCAACTGTTAAAAAAATATCCTCATGAAGTTGAATATAGTATAATAAGAATTAATCCAAACTCTGTTATGCGTCTCATTTGGGATTCGTCCCACACACACAGAGATGGCGGTCCTTACCCTCTCAGAGTCTCCTGCCCGCGGCGTCTGACCCGCTGCACCTCTCTCTGGTCCTCGGTGCCCGTGAAGCGGCTCGCTTGGTACTGTCCTGTCCCGGGAGTTTCACCCCAACACAAGTGGAACGACCCGACACACATGGCCGCCCATCCCAGCAGCACCTGGGCCAGCTTCCCTGATGCCATCGGTCCGTCTGGCTATCCCTCCAAAACGCAGTTACCTCCCTGTTACCTCGCACTCTCTCTGGCTCTCCGTTCACCGTGTGGACCCAGGCTGAGGAGTCTAGTCCGGGATCTAGATCAGAAGTCCTGGTGTGCACTCCAGAGCAGGGGCTAGACAGAGGAAGAGAGAAGATAGGAGATTAGAAACACCATAAAGGTCCCCAATTATACTGTTTTTCATCAATAGGTCTCAGATATATACAGAACCTGTCTCTGATTGGCTGAAACACCAAACAGATCATTGCAGCATTACCCATAATCCCCTCTGTTTCAGCCCTGTTTCCAAAGTGCTGATTCTCTGTCTGTTACTTTAGAAGAAAATAAGGAGCCCCTCCCCACGCCCCTCTGAGAGAGATTTGGTTAAAAAGAACTCAATGG